TTTCATTTTCTTCACACATTCTCACAACACACTCACTCCAGCACTATTTAACATGATCAATCCCAGCAGTCAAGGTTGGCTGTATAACGTCTTACTTGCCAAGAACCCATTACTTGAAAGGAAGATCTCTCCTGTCTGCACAGCAGATTTGTAGGTGGAGAAAAGGAGCCTTGCTGTGAGAAGAGTGGCAGGCACCAATAAATACCTCAGTTAGAACAGAGCAGAAAATGCACGAGGCGTCCTTCACTAAGAAATGATAGAGAACTGTTCTTCTGCATATACTTTCAACTAGTTTGTTGCAGAAAGACAGCTTATACAGCTCCCACAAGGGCAGGAACCTAACTGTTGGCAAATCTACTCAGGACTCATGCTATCACACATAGGAGATATATTTCCAGCCCTGCTTAATAGCTGAAGAAAAAGATGCAAAGGTTACGTCAATACAACAATCAAACGGCAATCCTCAGAAAGATCAGCAGAATAGGGCTCTGCAAGGAAAAGTGCCAAGGGCTATACTATAAATAGTGTGTCTGGATATATCTGCCCATGTCTTAACTTCACTCTGCCTTATTAGCTGCTGATTGTTCTTCTAACATACAGAGCTTGCTGGAAAAAATACCCAGAGCACAGCTGTTAATAATTCATTGCCAAGGCTCTACATGATACGTCCTCAGATCTGTTCTTTTCACTACTTCAGTCACTATCCCAGAGAATAGGACAGAGATGCTTCTTCCATTCACATGCAGCATGAAGCTTAGAACAATATTCTAATCCTTTACAGCAGACTACAGGATCCAAAAGCCCTGCAGTATTTCAAAGGTAGATGCGTATGCAGAAACAAGCAATTTCAGTATTATAATTACTATTGGAATGCAATACCTGAAACACTATTAGAGAAATTTGACTTTTTGTTCAAAATTCTTGAATATGAGAATTAAACACAAGCACATTGCTTTACACAAGTTGCACCGTTTTTGATACTTTTTCCTCTGTTGTGGTTACATTACTGTTCAACGCACAAAGATTTCATTCTTACTGTGCATCGAGGCACTATTTCCACATTTATCATTTGGCTTGAAACAGATTGAAGCATTATGTCATTTTTACTGCGTTTCACAGAACAGCTAAGAATGGGAAAACTGTGCTAAGCCAACAATAACTTTGGTTTCTGCACCTCTGAAGGAAAGAATACAGAGTCACACATCAGCCAATATGAAAACAGAACAGCTCTCCTGCCCCCACAATATATACGTGTTTTTCTAGGTAAATACAACAGTAGAAATAGTAAATACAATAGAATACAATATATAGTAAATAAATAGTAAATAGAAATAGTAAATACAACAATAGAACAGATACATGCCATTATATTAGTTTAAATATTTTTGTTCTTCCATCTTGAAGTCCAAAATCTTGTATTTATTTCAGTAAGGGCAGAACTGAGAGCTCTGATCACTACACAGAAAAAGCAGCTCAGCAGAAGTTCCCTGTCAAAAACACAACCCTCCCTACCTTTCCACAGTGAGCAGATGAATTTACTTGCTGGCTGTCCAAGTTATTTTAAAATTAGTTAGTCCTTCTAAGCCATTAAATATTTGAATCACATTAAAAAAATTCACCTCCAGTATCTGCTTTACACATTTTATACCTCAACGTTCTTTCAAGTACCAGAACAGCAACATTAGACAAAAGAACCCAAACCTTTAATCAAATCAGTAGACACCAAAATCAATAGTGTGCAAAAGAAAATATATGGCTGCTGATACCTATGAATCAGTGCAATTTCAGCTATACACCCACACCTGATGTGGCACTTAAATACATTCTTTTGAGGTTAACATTACAGGAAATAAAACAGTTTTAATCACACTATTTTAAATACACTTGTTTGCTACGTTCAGATTCAAAAGTAATATTTTTTTCACTCTCACTAATTCTCTACCATAAGTAGTTATTTTAAAGGTAGAGCTCAAATCCTCTAGGCTGTCAGTACAAGCAGCAAACACAACCTTCAGAAGAAGTAGCTTTCCCACAGAGGAAACTTCAGGTAGTTCAGGGTGTAGCTACCCAGTCACCTATGCTATGCAGCTGACCATACGTGCCCATGCTTGAGCAGAGCACTGGGCCAGATGGCCTCCACAGGTCTCTTTTCAACCTCAACCACACTGGGATTCAGCGATCTGATATTTACAGGCAATACTGATGTAGACTGAATCAAACAAAAACAAACCATTCTTTTAAACCAACACACACTTGTTCATCACCAAAAACAAGTCAAACGATTCTTCTGTTCCATAAAGCACACTGGGCTACCACACATGCAAAATGTGCCAAGTGCTAAGCAAGAAGGATCTTGCTCCAGCACATTAACTTTGGAACAAGAGCACAGTTAATAACAGCTTGTACACAAACCTGTAGGCACATCTGCAGTTTTCTTCTGCTTTTTAAAATCCCTAACTGGAAGAAATGACAACAATGTACTTAAACAAGTATCAAACAGTTTGGGAAACATGCATGCAAGAAGATACAAATGGTCAGAGATAACAGTATTAAATGGACTGTGTTTTAATTTCTTATACCACACCTACACCAAAACATACAAAAGCTCCCAACACGCTTGAGAGAATGAAATTACAGCAAACCTCTATGGTCCTTTCTCTTCTGTTTTTGCATTATAAGCCAAGGAGAGAACAGTTACTGCTAGAGGAGAATTAAAGCCTGAGTTGCACCTTTCAAATTCCAAAGATAAATACAAGGTAACTTTCAAAAAAAGAACTGTAACCAGTCTGCCTGGGAAAACAGAAGAACCAAATACAATCACAGAGCAGAATTTTGCTGCTGAAAATACTATTCAAGAAAAGCTTTTTTGAACACTGGGTAATTGACTAAATAGATGCAACTTTTACCTCAATTTATGTAAAAGTATGTCTTAAGGTAATTAAATCTCACAAAATTGTGAGTTATAACTATGACTTAAAAGCCGTAAACCGAGCATCTTCAAGAGCAAGCAGTGGTTTTTCTAATACCCCCCATTCTAACAACAAGCAATTTAAAAGTAAATCCTTCAAGATGCATTTTTGTGCACTAGATAACATTTTGGATCACATATTTCCAATGCCAATTCCTGAAGCTACACCATTCATAAAGGTAATCTTTTCTCTTCTATGAATAACAGTAATAGCTTGTCCTGTAGTTTCATCTTTTTATTTAAATAGGTCCACTTTAAATATATTTCCCATGTTAGAGAGTTTATTTCACTTACTCAATATTGGAATCTGTTTGAAAATTAAGACAGAATCTTGGCAATATTCACTATAATGCATCACATTTTTGAAAGGTGTATATTTCTTCCATGAAAATATCTAAACGTGTATGATGTATGCATACCTCCTTGTCTGTGCAAGACATTTTGTTGTACTTTTATGAGCTCTTGGACTATAAGTTAGTGTACTCACTGAATCTTCAGGGAACCCCTTCTACATTTTACATACATACATAGCTCTTTAAAACTTTCATCTTATTTCCAAAATTTGAAGGAAAAATAAGAGCACTAAACCACTATTTAAGGGTGACCTACAGAAAAACATCTGTCTGTTCTATCACTACAGAACTAAAAGCAAGAAATTATATTTAAAATTTTCTATCACCTGCAAACATCAGAGTCACTGCTTAATATTCTCACACCTCTGCTTTCTAACAGTTACAGCCTTTAATACATTAGGTAGGACATTTGTCATAATGTCTTTTCAATGTTTGCTCAAATAAAATTTTTCCTAGGGGCTCTAGCAGACTTGGAAACATAAACATTGGTATGGCATTCAACTCAACCACCTTCATTACCTCTTCTCTTTTCCCTTTCCTTTAGGCCTCATTTGTGCTTGAGATACTGCCATCACTGGTTTGAATGCAAGTTACAGTTACACTCAGGCTAATTTGTTGTCTCAATGAATTTCTGAATCATCCAAAAAGGGCATCTCCTTCACAAACAAGTAACGCAAAAAGCAGAGGTTTACTGTATGGCATTATTCCTATTCTTCTAGGCTACAAGAAGCATATCTTAACAGTGGCACTGCTAAGCACACTGTCCACATAAACAGAGATTATTCTAATACTAATTTATTGTGATCCACTAGAAAGGTAGCGAAAGGTAGCTTGGGTTAAGACATTCCAGTCCTGCACACAACTCTACGTCTTACAAAGCAAAGCATAATTTTAATGGTCAAGACTGAAGTCGGAACAGGCAGATAAAATCTGCTGAACTATGAGCAACCCAGCTCTGCCCTCTTGATTTCAACTGTACCAAAAATGCCCAAATTCTTTACTGGGGAATCACAGAAAGGATTACTCCTTTAAGTATCTTGACAGATGAGATTGGATTTTCATGTAAAACACAGAAATTTGACAAAAAGTCAAAGAGAAAGATCTGGCTAAACACAAGCATCATTCAAGCAACAGCCTATGCTCACCTTCCTTCAATTTTCCCTCCTCTCTCAGTTATGCTGCCCAGAGCTACAGCTATAGAGCAGCATGTCTGAGACAGTATGGACAGACCTCACTCCTCCTCCTTGGAATTCACGGCACCACAATCTTTCCAGCATCTGTCAACAGAGCTGAAGAAAAGACCAAGCTCTAAAAGTACACAGTGAGTTCAGAAAGGGAAAAAATGAAGAAATGAAAAAGTAAATCATCCTCCCATGTAAGGGAGATAACTCTGTTTGTATCATTCATACGTGTGCCTCTAAGAACAGCATTACTCTCTTGTCCACATATTAACATTATGCTGCAAAAATTTAACCATTAGATTTTCTCTAAGGGAAAATCAAACTATTATTTTTCCTTTTGATAACGAAATGAAAAAGAGTAAAACATGTAATCCTGAAAAGGAACATACACCTCTGATGTTACTGGACTGTTTAAAGGACCTCAAAGAAATATTTCTGACCTGAAAAGCAAAATTAATCAAAAATCACAATCTGAGGTCAAAAAAAGGCCATACTTACTCTTTATTCCTGTTATTAATGCATGGCTGGTAGAGAACTTTGACAGCACTCCACATCCCTGATGTTCCACAGCTTGGCATGAAATTATCGCCAAACAGTGTAAATACACTGTGGGAGGAGGAACTTCCTGAGGACTCCACCAGCAATGTGTCAGAATTTAAAAGCCATATCTATAAATAAAGAAATAAATCATTTTACTGAGGATGACATCAATTTCTTCTTCTACTCTAATCCTAAATCTGATGTACCACGAACAGCTGATACTAACACAGCGTGACAGTTTCTAAGGAAGTGTCAAATAACAGCAAACTGACATTTTATTTTCACTATTACATATCACAGTCCCTAGAGAAGAAAACCAGGATTTAACACAGTCATTCACTATTAACATCTCTTTCTCTCTGGTAGAGCACATCATTTTGAATGACTGCGTGCTACAGGCAGGGAACTGAAAGACTGCCCACTAGAAGTGGGAACAAGTAAGAAGTTTTACAAAACATTTACTTATGACTGGATAGATCTAAGAAATACAATGAGAAAAACAGCAATTAACATGGTCTAAGGTAAGGCTGGTAGCAGATGTGCGACATGCACAGTTAGGAAAAAAAGCCACTGGTAACAGGACACATAGTATATGTCATAATTGAATGCAACAATCACAGTTTGGAGATCAAAGCTCAGAATATCTCTATACTTATTTGTGAAATTTTCACTGATGAATGGATAAAGAAGTTCTGAGAGGAAACAATCAATTTTGCTTACACACATTGCATAATCAATGGATATCAAGATGTTACAATTGTATAATCAATGGATATCAAGATGTTACATTTTAATCTAGAGAGTTAGGCAAAGTGGACAATGATAACAAAAGAGAACAAAATGGGAGGCTTATCCTTCGGCTGGTCTCACCGCAAAACACCAATAGAGGCGATCTCCAGAAGAGATCCTTCCCCTCTTAAGAGTAGCCAGCTCTTAAACAGGTCTAGGAGGGGTGGAGCCAGGCTTCACCTGTGCTCCTCTGGCTGACTCATGGCTCACCTCAGGTGATCAAAAAGAGGTTCAGGCTGTGACTCAGTAGTTCCCATACACACATAAATGATGACAAGCAACTGAGCTTCACACTTAGCAAGTGGCTGTTTATCAGTTTTGTTCTGGTAACTCAAAGTACATTCATAAACTGAACAGCAAAATATACCTCACAGCTCGGGCTGTTACACACGGTGCTTTTAAGTTGCACGTTGAAGATGTTGGAGAAAATGGGGACAGAAGAGAAGCAACCTAAACACAAAGGCCATTACCACCACAACTAACTTTAATTAAACAGCATTTCTTAATTTTGAAATTAAGACTTCCTTTTTAAGAAGCCCCTTTTGGATGCTTTTTGGAAGGCAACTATCCACACAATTCGTCCATGGAACAGTTTTATCTGTCAGAATTTTCCTGGAACTTTCTTCAGAGAAAGCAATTAATCCATTTAATTTGCAACATGAACTACGTGAAAAGTACTTCTATCAAAAGTGCTGATGTGCGATTTCTGACAGCAACTTCCTACCACTTCTTCAAAGAATGTCCTTTCCTCAATAGTGACACCACAGGTCTGCGTTAGTCATTTAGCCCACAGTGCAAAACAATCAACTGGAACTTTAGAAGGGAAGAATAAACACTTCGCTATGAGGGGAAAAAAAGTATATTCTACAACTATCAACTATAAATGACTTATTTTCAAATCCTGCTTTTGGTGTGAATGAACAACCGCTCACTAAGCTGAGTGCAGTGACTCAAAGAAGCTTATATATGTTATTCGTGGCTAGCATAGCATTCAGATTTTCGTCTGTGCTTTCAACCATTCGGCTGACCACAGACAATCTTTCTTTCTACTATTTTGTACAAAAACAGTGCATGCTGAACCAAATTCCTTTGGCTTTAACTCCAGTAAGAAAAGAGCTTTCAAACAAAGATTGATAGATAAAGTTTAGAATTTATTCATAATGCAGATTAATGACCTTTCCTCATACGGCAGCTTCGGGAGAAAGTATTTTCACGTGGCTTTTTCCTTTCTAAATCATCCTGCCAGTAAGTTTCAAAGATATTGTCAGGAAAAGAGCTGCAACAAATCTCTGTTACACTTGGTGGGATTTGATCCAAATAAGTAAAATACAGCGATCTACTTTCGGTGAGTTTCCCAAAATCTCAATCTATGTCTTCAGCTTCCCTTTGAGAACAATAACCACTAACTTTGATTTAACATGGCTAGAAACAGCTGTTGTTCCTCCTCACTCCCAGCTATTGCAGACATTACCAATACTTTCGGTATCACACGGGTTCGTACTGTACATACACTCCATTACAACACCTCTGCCCTCACATTTAAACTAAGCGGATTAAATTCGGTCTTCTTCATACCTCACAGAGAATACAACTCTCTAAAAGAGATGGTTAACTAAGTCTCAACAAGGTAGTCATCACATCTTGATTGCTGCAACACCCCCTTCTCTAGCCTTGACAAATGTGAACTCATTTTGCTCAAGCTCTCAAAAACACAATTGAAGAACCAGTATCTGACTGACAAGTCCCTCTCATTTGTCTCATTTCTTTTCTTGGGTTACCTTCCTACTCCCTTCCCACTCAATGCTAAAATACGAGCTAACTTACCTAATCCTACTCCAAAGAACAACTTAGTTAAGACTGGACTACTCAAGACCCTACCATAAAATTTTCACAGGTGAAGCTTTTGGAGTTTGGTTAGGTGAAGCCCATCTAGGAGATGACACAGACAGGATAAGTAAAGATTTGTCTGAGCCACATTTTAGTCTTCTATCACAGTTTTATTTACTCTCAGTCTTTTAAAAAAAATCCTTAAGTACAGAGCTTTCAAAAACTTGGTTATCAACAATTTACAGAAACTCAAGTTATGCTCTCCAAAGATAATGTAACTGTATAATGTTAAGTGATATACACAGAGACAATAAACATTTCAAAAGAAGACTTCTGAAGGACCTCAACCTTAATTATTAAATACACAGCCTAGGCTGCGAACATTCAGGTATATAAACACAAACATTACACATGGAAATCTTTGACAGGTTCATTTTCAATACAAACAAGTGGAACAGCTGGCCCACTATACATCAGTGATGAAACCACTTGTCTGTGCACTTACAGCCCTAAGCAGTTACTTTTTTTTTTTATTTATTTGCAAACATTAGTATAAACTCTGCTTACATTACACTTGTATCCACAAGGTCTCTGAGTCTCAAGACTTAAACTGTACCTCTGGAACACCTGTCAGTGTATGTACTGTTCCCAGAGTATCACCACAGAAATGAACAAGGCGTTTTGATGTTCAACACACACACACACACACACACACACACACACACACACAAAATAAAGAAATAAAAATAAAAAGGAAGGGATTACAATTAGAAGCTGGTTCCTATGTTAACTCAACCTCATACTGATTAATAATGAGCATTAAAATGCTAAGCTGGCCTCTATTATTAAACTCCAGGATCAAATCCCAATTCACCTTAAAACTTTGAAGAATTTAGCTGTTAATGTCTAAATAGGCAATCTTAACAGTATTAAATCATCAAGTACAATTGGAAATTTTACTATTGTCTGTGTTTCACTTTCTAATGCAATATATTGATTACATGAATAATTTCTCCTGAACTGAGAAAGCATTTGTGAAAGATACTACATAATTTGATGAACTTGTAGTGATTAAAGTTAGGAAACACTGGAACAGAAATATGAGATTATTTTACAAAGCCAAGATCTAAGCTTTCCATATTTTCTGAGTAGAAATTCTTGTTATTTCCGTGTTCTAGTTTTGACTGGGATGGGGTTAATTTTTTCCATAGTAGCTGGTACAACGCTACGTTCTGGATTTAGGACAAAAGCAGAGGCAGTATCACTCTGATGTTTTCATTGTTGCTGAGCAATGCCTGCCTACACAGAACCAAGGACATATCTTCTTCCCATGTTGCCTTAGTAGCAAGGAGGCTGGGATGCACAAAGTGCTGCGAGGGGGACACAGCCAAGACAGCTGATCTGAACTGGCCACAGGGCATCATGCACAGGAACAAAAGCCAGGGGAAAGGAGGCATGAAAATGCCCCTGGGAGTGATGGTGTTTATATTCCCAAGAAACTGCTACATATGAGGAGCCCTGCTTTCTTAGAACTGGCTGAATACCGGCATGCTGATTGAAAGTACTAAACGGATTCCCTTTTTTGCCTTGCTTACAGACACAGCTTTTGCTTTACCTAGCAAGCTTTTTTCAAGATAAAAAACTTACCAGAATATAGATCCTTCCATTGTCACCTTTTATGGTGAATCTAAATGTGCTTTTAGCAGAGGACAATTCCACAAGACACTGAGCAACCATACTCTGTATGAATTGAGACCTGTTAAAGAATTAAATGCATTGTACATTTTAATAGCAACTACAAAGGTAGGATCATTCATATCAATGCAGTGCAAGTATGAGCAACTTCATACTATGAATTCCACTACAATCTTACTATCATTTTTACAAAGAAATTGAGTTTCTTTATCTTTGCCTCCACCAAAACCACCTTCTATCTCCTGCAACAGCAACTATTTAACAGATCAGCATCTAAATTGCTCCATATCCCTTACTTTAACCAACACCAAACATCAAATGATGAGTAAACGTTTTTCCTTATACTTTATACATAAAAACACAAAGTTCAGAAAAGTGTACATACTTAAAATATAATTCACAAATAGAAAGACCAATGACTAATAGAAAGTATATAATACAAGATAATTGAATGACGTTCTGTGCCATCTTAGCTACAAATTGAATTACTTGAAAATCTAAAAACCCAACTTCCAATGAAACATTACAAGCTTACTTCACTCTACACAACCATCTTCAATTTCAATAGTTAGTCACCAAATGCCATGAAAACTTACATAATTCAAATAAGTATTTTACTTTTGTTTATTGGCTGAACAGTGAAATACTGCAATAAATTGTAATCTCCTTATTATAGACACAAAATTGTGCATGAATGAATACAGAGTACATTACCTTTAAAATGTAGCACTTTGTTATACTTAAAATTTTCAATAGTAAAATGTTACTAGGTTGCAAGCATCCTTTCCAGAATATAAAAAAACTAAGCAACTTATCTGATTTTTTTTTTTTTTTTTTTTACCTTGGTATTGTACTGAAGCTTTCCTCAGATGGCCAAACAATCACCTCAGTCACATAGTATTTAACAGTATCTAAAATGAAAAACACCTTTAAAGAACGAAGACTTTTTTTTTTGTATTTAATTACACTATAATTAGTTGCTTGTTCTGCAGTCAATTATGATGTGCAGCATGTGATCAAATTCATGCTTGAGTCTTTGGGAGAAGTATCTGATAAAAGAAAACACTGCTGATCGTGTAATTATTTCAGAGCAGCATTCTAGCAGTTTACCATTCACATTGATCCCTGTTTAGCAGTCGGAACAATCACCTTGAAACAAAGTATGCAAGAACTCAAACACCTGGACTGAAATGTCTTACATATTGATGTTTGCTGGTGTCAATTAACTCCTGTCCACTACGCACTGCTATCAAGACAAACCTGCAAGACATAGTAAAAAAAAAAAAAAAACCACCCTTTCCTAAATTACTGAGATCAGCATAGCTTACATGGTATTTTAGAATCCTCTGCTGCTCAGTAATGCTGCAGTGAACCACAAGAGTTCCAGTAGCATTACACACAGGAATAATCTTCTTCCTTGCTCAAAGAGGTAGATTAGAATCTCTTTCCAAAAACTGCACTAACATTATGTTAATATACGAAACATGTCAAGTTTCAATGTGTTTCCAAAAAGCTCCACTAAGACATTCTTTTAGCACCAAGTGGAAATGTTTTGAGTTCAGAATTTAGTCTTCATCGAGAATGTCAAAAAACTATCACATCGAAGCTCCAAGCGTAGGCTACACACACAGCCTAACCAAATAGCAAGCAGAAAAGGTTACACATACAGAGAACTTAATTCCAATAAGACTTAACATATGAGAAACAGTGAAGATTCATCAGTTCCATAAATTTCAAGAGTAGAATGGAATGCCTCATTTGACAGCTGTCCAGACACACCGTAAAACCTGGATGAAAATAAGCTTCTCTGCTCACAGCAAGGAAATCAGAACCAGACAGTCTTTAAGGTCCTTTCTAACCCAATCTATTCTATGATTCTCAGTAAGACACTTAATCCTGTTTTAACTATTCTAAGGCTTGGCAACTCCACACCTTGTCTAGATAAGTATTATAGTTAATTTAATTATCCTCACTGTTAAGAAATTATATGTTACCTCTGAGCTAATTCTAGTCGGCTCCATGCTGTGCCCTGTCCAAGAAGGCTTACCTTAAGCAAGGAATATGTTCCACTGCTGTAAAAAGTACTGGGAATTGAGAAGATGTTTGCCCACAGAAATAAAAGGTGGGAATTCCCCCTTCCCCACCAAAAGAAGCCTAAGCATATATGGGAATAGAGATGAGGAAAAGAACAGATTTTTGTCTGTTCTTCGAATTCTCCATAAAGCTTTTACAGTGCTGATGGAACATGCTGAAAGCAACCAACAAGCTTTCTAACTCCACCAAAATATAGAGTCCAAAACAATCCCCTGCACATCTACACTGTTTCCTGCTTCCTCTATCAATGATCACATCCTTGCTAGAGTTGTCTGAAGGCTTAGATGAGGGCACCAATTTGTGAGGATCTGTAAGGATCTTTTCTAGCCCGATTTTGCAAAGTCTTACAACTTGCTTTGTAGGATTTCAAATGTCTTACCTTAAAAAAATACTTTTCTTAGCGCTTGTGTTTTTTAGATCTCTGTACAGAATAATCATTCAAACTTCTGTCTTCTGTCTACTCATAACTTATTTCTGAAACAGACTTTGCATTTCCTGCTACATTTTTATATTCTCTGAACTGAGATGGACTCACACATCTGCAGTAGAGCAGAGAGAGAACAAAAGAAAAAAATCCTGCTAAAAACAGTCTTATCACTGCTTATCTCTCTGTTAAAAATGGCACTTTGAAGAACATCTTCTGAATACATCAGGTAAGCTTTAAATACTCAATGTCACAACAGCTTTTAGAAAACCAAGAATCTCACAATTTCATCATCAAATGATGAGAGACTTCCTTCCCATGAAACCAGACTTGCTATTAGCAATAACAGTTCACAAAGCACTAGAAGCTTAAGACAAGTTAAGAATTAACCTTTCCATCATTTTGTATGACTGACAACAAAGAAACGATCCACAATTTTTCAGATCTCCTGTTTGATTGCGATTCCTACTAAACTGGAACCATGCTTTCCATCTTTCAAAGCTTTAGAATTAATCAAATATGCCTCAAAAACCAAAACAAGGAACCTCCCTGCTTAAGTCACTAGCTCAAGGTCTCACAGAAAGAGCAATTCCAGAAGGGAATGCCACAAACACACTGGCTCCAGCATTACATTTTTTCTGATAAACAACATTCCTCTGGAGTTTTTAACCTCTGATGCTCATTAGCTGATGCAGGCAAGTACAGTTAAGATTGCACACACAATACCTGATGATACTGTTTCTCCCAGTGTTGTCTTGCAGCGCTCACAAATTACTCTGGTATTTTCCTTTGATTTCTGTAGGACAAAGAAACATCATTTAGATGCTGCTCTGTTATTCTGAAAAAGAACTCTATAATTTTAACATACTCCCAGTAGGATATAGTGAACTTTGTACTTTAGTCTTTATATTCCCTTTATATTCCCTTTATATTCACATATACAAAGATGTGCATTTACTACTTCAATCTTCCAAACTTCGACACGCTTTCAAGTTTCATAACAATTTTTAAATCTGGCAGTATAACCAATCACATAGGACAACTATGATAACAGATAACAAGAGAATCTCATAATATTCAGTGACTGTATGATAAAGTGATGAGGTAAATTCAATTTTGATAAGGGAAAAATAATGCACACAAGAACTATTCCTAATTACATATACAAAATATTACACTGTAAAATGACTAACTGTTACAGTCAGAAAGATTAGTAGTGCAGTGGAAAGACAATACAGAAGTGGAATAGCAAAAGGGACGAACACGAAAGGAATGCTCACCCATCTCTGAGGATCTAGGCTCACGGGGAAAAAATCCACAAGGGAGAGATCTCCAACCAGAGATCCTTCCCCAGAGCAGTCAGCCCTTAAATGGGGGGGGGGGGGGGGGGGGGGGGGGGAGGTGGTTATAAGAGAGGTGCAGCCATGCTCCACCCCTTCCAGTCACACAGCTGAGTTGCTTTCACTTGTGCTCCCAGGGCTGACAGGGTCCTTTCCCCAGGCAATCTTTCAGTGGTTCAGGATGTGACTCAACAGCTCCCACACACTACCATCACTCAGTAGAAAGTTTTAACCACTGTGGACAGGATTGTAGGAATGAACAGTTTAATGTTCAGCAAAGTAGAAAAGGTCTATAGAGTATGCAGAATTACTAGGAAAGAACTACAGAACACAATGTATTATGGTATTTCAGAAAGGTGGTGTGGATACAGCTCTATTCTAGTAATTCCAGACTTTACATTTAAACTCATTATCAGTAGATGGATACAAGCAAGCACAACTCCTACTTTAACACAAACTCCAGAATTGGTTCTATGTGAGATTATCAGCCTGGCTGTAGCACAGTACAACTCTGATCTGGAATTAAGATGTGTAGGCAAACACAGACGCTCCTGAGTTAAAAAAACCTTTCCGCAACTAAAAATTCTGGAACCTCATGAGAAGACCTCTAAATTGTCTTTGTACAAATACTTTCATAATTGTTAACTCAATACACAGTGCATAAAAATACCAATGTGTAGTTGAACAACTACTGCCTTTCAGGCTTGGTAAAGTCCAAACAAGTCACAACCAACTTAAGAAATCCTACCGCAGGATTTGCCTACATAAGACTGCCTAAACTTAGAGCAAATTAAATTAGAGTATTTCCACTCTGCATTTATCTGTTTCTGCAGCCTAAGAGATGTCTGCAGTTCCCATACATTCCAACTGGAGAGAATATGGTTTATGTTCATTGCCACCACCATAGTCCTCAAATTTTAAAATGTGTGATGCAAGGCAGTTCTCACAGACTACTATCCAGATCACAAATTGGTAAATGGTAGCCTACCACATTACAGAATTAAAAAAAAAAAAAGTTGAATAAAATACATCCTATCGTCTTAGTATAGTCTCAGGTACACTTTTCATCTTCTGAAGGAAAATGCTGAGGTATGTCTATTACAGATTGTCTTCAGAACCTAGATGATGGGCTTCCAGATTATGAAGATATCCAAGCCTAATTATCCTTGTCACCATTAAAAAATACATTATTATTTGATTCATTCTGATTCAGAGGCCATGGAAGAGGTGATGAAGGAGTAAAATACATACATTGGGCCAATTTTTCAGTAGGTACCTCTTACTGCAATGACAGGGAAACTTACACATGGGAGACAAATGAATTACAAGCACCAGTCTGGACCATTAAGTTACACTTACTCCAAAGCACGTGCTCAAACAGCAGATGACAGCAAAAATTAAAAGAATTTAGATGATAGTAGCTAGCTAACCAGGAGTTACTAATGAAATGCTACAGAAGAAAGAGAAAAAATGATTTCTGAATGTATAAACAATTGAATCGTTGATAAAAGCACTGCAACAATGGCAGGGCAGCAAAGTCCTATGCAGCAAATGAGGACAACCCAAACGCAGCAGTCACAGGATAGAGAAACAAAGAAAAAAATAAACTGCTTACCTTTAGAAGACCTCAGGCAGGCAGGGATCTCCAGCAAGATAACCTCATTTCCACTGCCAGCCCTTACATGAGGTCTGAGAACAGGTGGATCCTGGCTCCACCCCTTCTGGTCATTCAGGTGCATTGTATGCACCTGAGCACCCCTGAGTTGACCCTGCCTTCCTAGCAGGTGCTCAATCACTGCTTCAGGACATGACTTAGCATTTCCACTACAAGGATAATATAGAGAATTTAATTCTCCAGAATTAGTAACATGATTACTGATAAAATGCATCTATAGAGAGTGTTGAAAATAATTGGAAAACTTACAAAAATATTTTCCAGAAAATAAATAGACAGGAAAAGAGATAAAGAGTTACAATTCTTACTGTGTTTAATTTAATAAGTAGGCAGCAAAGATTCAGGTTGATTAACCACTGAAACAGTTTACCAAAGAATGATAAAGTTGCCTTCATTTGACTATTAAATCAGTACTTGACATCTTTCTCCAAGTCATGCTATAGCTCAAACAGAAATGAAGGATTTGATGCTGGGAATGTCTGGCAAGAGTTCTCTGATCTGTACTATGCAAATACTAAAATGAACAGAAAGGACTGTTCCAGCTTCCCAAAAACAAGGAAGTGGCCCACAGGATCTGAACTCATGATGATAAAGTCCTAATCCTCTGCCCTCTCTATTGAGGATGATACAAAAACTGCTCAGTAACCTGTATACAGCAGCACTTCCTTGAAAGCTACAACTCAGATGTTTTTTCCTGACTACGGTTACAGGTACTAGCTGAGAACTGTGCAGTACTGTACCTATAAAGCACCACTAACTCACCATAGCACACTTCAGCAGAAAAAGCAATACCTTTAGCAAGGCTAATTAAATCAATATATCTATTTGATAACTTGCAGCTGCTAGCAACCGGCAGATGGAGGTGGATCACCAGCCCAGTATTTTCAGCTTCTATTCCTAAAGATCCCTGATATGGCAACAGGGAAAAATATTTTCCCCAAAAGATACTATCAGGATGCTGCAGAACCATGTGACATTTAAATACTATGTTACACTGGAAGACTAATAGATGTGAGAAATATGTTTGCGATGGAAGGATGTTGTCTTGGTCCCACAGGAGGCAGGAAAAGATTGTTTAAGCATATCTAGTATATTCCTGCTACTATTTTGGTCATACGCAAGCACTTTCCGAAGAACTGCAATGCAATTAAAAAAGAACTTTCATACTGAGACAAATCGCAGTGGTATTCTCCAAAATGAGAACATTTATGCCAATAGCAATCTGTCTTGTTTCTATTCCTCTCATATTATGGAAGAATTTTCTGTTTCAGTATGAGGACTTTCTCCCTTATTAATCCAGCTTCTGCTTGATCTTATAGTTTTCTGCTCATTTCCTTGGCAACTGAGCGATGCTAGAAATACGAAAACATGGAAATTGGAATTCAGTGTAAGCCTGAAAGATGTAGAAAGAGGGATTTGACACAAACAAGGAAAGAATTCTCAAGTTCTAAACAAGAAAGCCAATCCGAAGATTCATCACACTAAATTAGTATTGTAAGTTTCTGACAGAAAATAGCCTCCTCTCTCATTCAAAGTTCTGTTATTGTTCTGGTGACCCATATCTCAGTAATATTTCTGTCCTGTATCTTTTTTATTATGTTTCTGCCTCAAAGGCAGCATTTCCCTGTCAAACATTTCTTTGATTGATTTTAAAAGTATGCTGGGCAGACTGCTCCTCCTTCTCTGGGCTGCAGTATGAATTCCATAGACACTGCCTCTTCCCATCTTTGTTCCCATTGTTCCATGATCCCTTTTGAAAAAACTGAGATGTGAGATAATTAATTTTGGAGACCTCTGACAGAAGGCATTGTCCTCTTGGAAATTCAAAATCTTCTACTTATCCGCCTTCTTAAGAATACTTAGAATACATAACTTCAGTTGTCAACTCAAGAGCTAATCCAGATTAATCTGCTTCTCTCATGCTGAAATCCTTTCAGGATACCAATTGTTATATTCCCTTCCCCAAATTTTGTTTTTCAAAGAACAACGGAACAAGAAACCAGAGAGACCATAGCTTCAGGACTTGCAGATACAGACAGGAGGACAGAACTGTTCTCAAAACAGATGGCTCACTAGGATGCATCACACCATTGGCAACTGACCTGCTGAAATCCTGTCGATTTAAAAAGGAGATAATACAAATCCCTTATGATGGTAAACAGCAGCACTATATAAGAATCAGGGCCTCTGATGTTACTTTCAATAGATGAAGAATTTGCTGCAGGGAATCCGCATATCAGCTGTTACAGACACACAAGGCAGTAACAGTTTCCAAAATTGCTGAAGAACTTTAAACTATTAGGTTTAATACACAGTATGGGACTGATCTGCAGGATAAGTGTTAACACAAATACAGACAAACTGTACATTAACAGAAAAGATTTTATGGAAATGCAAGCTAAATTACTTGATGCTCTTTTGGTGGCAGAAGTAATTATTGCTCAAACTTTTATGAGTGCTGGATTTCCAAGACAAGTAAAGCAATCTATTTTATTTCCTCAACTCACTACTGAAACAATCAGCCTATAAACACTCTTTTTTCCTGAGCAACAACAAATTTTGATGTTTCTAAGCTAAATGGTAGCCCTATTCCTTCAGGCTCAGCTGATGGATATCTCCTCCTGGAACACTTTACAGAAGTCACCTTCAGCAGTTACAGTCCGGAGTGGCAGATCCTTTTTACCAGACAAAGAGCCCTCAAATAAGCTCAACATTCTTCTTTCATTCTTTCAGATATAGCTCCCTTATGCTGGCACACTTTCTGATTGTTTTAAATCTTACTAAAAATAAAACAAAACAAAACCTACACTTTCCTTTGATCATATTTATAGTTATGCATCCAGTCATATTTGGAGAAGAAAAGCAATGCTACTCTAGTTTTCTCCTTTTGCTTTGTTTCACTGTCCCTTGTAAAACACCTAACCAATCACAGTTACGATCCGAATAAATGTTGATGTTCTCCACTGAGGATATTTTTCTGGGGGGAAAAGGGAACACTTGGTTCCAGAACTACATTGTTAAATGGTTCATACCCAGGTCAGTGTCATGACATGGTGCATGTATTGTCTGGCTTCAATGCAGCTGAATGCCAACAACCCTCTTTGACCTTCAAAACACCCTTGTAATAAGTTAAATAAGCCAGTGATAAAAATGTGTTTCACAAGGAAAAAAAATTCAAATACATTCCCCTAAGAATTATTAAAACAAACTACTTTACCAAGGTAGAGTCATTCTGAGAAGTGTGATGATGTTCAGTCTCTGAGCTGCACTTGAGAGATTCAGGCACATATGATTCATTTCTTGAATTCAACAGGAGAAAAGTCTCTCCAAGAAAACAGTCATCATGCTGAGGGTGTAAAGTGCTTCTTGCAAAGGGATTAGGGTGACAACACCACTCTTCTACTAAAGCACTCCAGTTTTCACTTGGTAGAGGAAGAACTCTGAAAAATTTCCTAACAGAGAAAAAGAAATATTTTCATATATTATTCCCTAAGACACTCTAAGACACTAACAAAGAGACTGGAGTCCTTACAAGAAGGAAAAGAAAAAACTGTAGGACTTCCTCCAAACAGAGGTGCATGACTCTCCTTTCAGTCAAAGGTACTTTCTTTGGATGAATTCTGAGAAAGCAATGGCCAAGTATTTCCTGCCAAGTTTGTGATGAAGCTTTTCCCACGAGTGAATCTTCAACGATTATACAGCAGAATTTGGCATAACTTCCTTGTAAATAATCACATTGTAAAATTAAAACAGATGTACTCAGTCAAGAAAAATATAACAATAGAGATTATGCAGTTATTTTAATTACTGCAAAGTTTCCTTGCACCAAGCTTAATATATACAAGGAAACAAAGGAAAAACAAAAAAAAGTTGCCACAGAATGTCTTTCGAAGCCTCTCAAAGTCAGATATTAGACTTTGAAACAAAGCTAAATTGTGACAAAAATACCACAGTGTGTATCCATTAAAAAGAAAAAAGGATGAAACAATGAATTCTTAATTTAGATTCAGATTCACGTTTCAAAACACACAGACCAAAAAAAACCAACAGCAAAACAAAACCACCATCCAACCCACTAAATCAAATCCTCTTCTCCTGGGCTGCTATATGGACCAAGGTGTCTGCTACAGCCAATACCACACCTTGTGTTCTTCATCTATTTTGTTTTTAACTTCCTGTTTTGGTTACCTGCAGTGACTGAGGATTTTAAAAGCCAAACTTTTGAAGCATTGTTTTAAGTTGTAGAACACCCTCTGATAGCTGGAATAAATGCACGTGTATAAATATGCCATTATGCTCAGCAGTCAATACTTTCTGCTTGGAGTTCCCATAACCATTCTGTGGTCTCACCACACGTGATTTTATTAAGAATTTAAAAGCATTGATGAGTACTGTCCACACATTTACAATTGCTTTAATCTCTGTTTTCTAAGAAACTGCTGCATTGGGAAAAAATTCTGCCTCTTTACCAAAATAACAGATAATAGATTTAACTGCATGTTCTCCAACAATTTTCTACATGTGGTTTGTCACAATGTTTCGTTATCTGTCTAGTTTCTTGGAGTGTTTTACTTTTGCTCTCATATTTTGTCTGTTCTTACCCAAACTCCTCACACATCATTTCTTGATTCCACTCCTAGTTGAAAACTTGCAAATACAATCTCACTTTGCAAATCATCAGAGAACTAATGAGAATTAATGAGACAGCAATTAAACACCCTCCTTTTCTTGCATTTCAGAGACTGCTCTTTTCTGAAGATGCCTGTTTTCCCACTGCAGTTCGTTGTGCTTTCTGTATTGCCGACTAAGTCAAAGGAAAACTTTTGTATACAGACTTCCTTCTTTCTCGATCTGCAATACATTTCAAACTGTGCTTGCCCCATCTGCAGATGGAACCTGGAATAACTGGTATTCCTGCCCAGCTTTAGCATTATGACTAATGTCACCTTCTGGCACTATGCATCCCTGACTTCATTCTTTGTAGTTTTATGTATCATCAGCAGAGATATTATCAACGTTCAGATGGAGGTCTAAAGACTGATTATTCTTCCCAGTTGCATACAGTTAGTGCTAACACCTGGACTAACACTAAAAATGTTTTTTTTCCATTCCCTTGTACCATTCCTCATATTATAGCAACATAAAGGTGGTATTGCTCAGCAATACTTTTTAAAGTGTTGAAGAAGAAGGAAAAAAAAAAAAGATTACCTTAGGCTGCAGATCAGTGCTGTCCAATTTCTTTACATTACTCTTTCTTTACCCTCACAGCCTGGAGCTTTGTGAATTGCATCAAGATCTTGAATTTTTGCCAAACCAAAAGCAGTTATTCTGATCAGTGAGAAGTTTCTTAACAGGTTCCTCCCAACTAAGCTATACAGAAAGTGTAACTTTTCCACTTTATTTTAGCCTTTCACCATTCAGACTTGAAAAGCCTTATTCTAGATTCTGTTTCTAGAACTGGAAAAATGTTAACACTTAATTGAAATTAGCTTTCCAGGAAACAACAATAAAAAAAGAAGCCTGAAGTCTACCAGGTGCTGACTCCCTTAAAGCTGCCAAACACAATAATAAACTCTAGCCTGCAGATAAAACTTATAACCTTGATAACCAATAGCTAAGTTTCTGCTTTAAGGTAGTTATATAGCCAGAGAGAAATTAAGAGACACAGTCTCCTTCTGAAAGCATCTAATAATCCTAAACCTCCCTTTAGAAATGCTGTCTCAAAACAGAAGTCTAGGTGCTTAAGGTTTAAAAAGCTAAAAGTTAGGTACTAGTCTAAGACAGTTGCAGTAATGGGCTTCCTTGCTAAGGTGAGGATTCGGCCATAGAGATTCTTATAAAACTACATTATATAAACATCCTCTATCATCATTATTAGTTAATATTTAAGCAGCCAATCACATCATCCTATTTATTGAAAATGCCTCAAACAAAAAGTAAAGGAGTAAAAATAAGTATTAACACTTCAGTTCTAGAAAGGAAGAAAAGATAGGAGATTCAATGGGATTCTTTTAGGAGCAGCCATCTTTTTGGAAAAACCATCTTGACAGCTGTCAAGCTTGAAGCTACTAGTAAATGAAAAGTCCGATTAAAAGACTTCTACAATCAGTTTTTCAATACAATACTTGTGTAGTAAAGTTGCTCAGGCTTGGGGCTAATTAAATCAGTAATTTCTTAATAGTCAATTTCTAAATATTATTTTTTGCAACATTCAGCCCTTCATACATTACAACATCTTAGAGAATTATTTTATCTATGACCTACACTCATACTGTATGTATAACTGTAAGGAGAGAAAGAAAATACTCCAAATTCTTTGCAACTCTTAAAATTATGAGAAAAAAACAAAAATTTAACCACTTCCTCTAATGTAACGATAATGCGGAAGAAGCAGAGAGCATAACCCTTATGCCTGAAGAGTCATCAAGACTCCCAGAGGAGACAGACTAATCCAGTGGATCTCAGAAAACACTGAGGGAATAACAGAAAACTGAGCTGAAAACTCTCATCCAGTCCATTTCCCTGTCTCAAGAAAGGATTCACAACACTTAAACCACTCCAGACATACTTCTCTCATCTACTCTTCAAAGTGATAGAGGTTGCAGACTATCTCTAGTGGTAAAAAAAAAACAAACAAACAAGCTTTAGAATATGTTTTTTCATTTTAACCTAAAATCCTCTTGCTTCGCTAAATACCGTAACTACCACTGTTGCAGCAACTATGCACATACCAGACGACTCTTATGTCTCCTAGGAGACATCTAAACTAAATTCCATTTCTTTCAATTTCTTTAAAGATATCCTTTTCTAGATATCAGACTGATTTTACTACAGACATTTTTCAAGCAATGCACACTTTATTAAGCTCTCACATACACAGTTATTCAACTTCTCTTCAATCCCATCACCTGTGTTCTCATTAGCAAGGTCTCTGGACTACGCAGTGAACAACAAACAATTTTTATTTCTGAAAGTATTGTCTTTTTTGGAAGAGCAGGAGTGGTAAAACAGAAACTGACACACTGGCAGCTCCAACCTTCTATCCTTACCCGAGTCAATATAATTTAGAGATAACATTCAAGGGGGTCAAAGGTCTTCTGCAAGGAGAAATGTTTTACGTGTGATGTATTATAATGTCTTTTTTTTTTTTCTTTCTAAAAATTCAAATTATGTTACACTGTAGGATGTTGAACCAAAATATGTAAATTCCACGCATACGAATTTGGTGTGCTGAAATTCAGGAAAATACCCACTCCAAGATGAAAATATAAAAGATTTTTTCAAAGCAAATGCTTCTGACTAGAAATTATAAGTTTCATTACCCTATAAATCTATCAAAAGCTTATTGCAAGACTTTCTGATGAGACATTTCATCAGAGAAAGCCCAAAACCCTCCCCCCTTTATGTTCAGGATAACCATAAATCTGTACGTATGACAAAAAAAATAAATAAAAAAAATATTACTGATTTACATTTGCATTACCATTTTGAGTATTAGGAGTGACACAGACCATAAAACGCTGCAAGTATGTCAAATGTGTCTCTAACACTTTATACACATGCAGCTGAAGCTGTCAAAATTCTTCATCACAAGATCCAGAAAACGCAGCAGCTTTTTATTAAAATTCTCATTCACTCTGCAGACTACCTGGTCTCTTTCAAGGCTTTTGGCAAGGTCCCATGCAACATTCGTATCTCCAAATTGGAGATATGGGTTCAAACAGTGGATTAGTGGATAAGGAACTGACTAGGAAGTCACAGCCGGAGGGTTGTGGTCAATGGCTCTATGTCCAGGTGGAGGTCAGTCACAAGTCATGTCCCTCAGTGGGTCCATCTTGGGACCAGTAATCTTTAACATCTTTACTAGTGACATATATAATAAGACTGAGCAAGTCTGTGGATTGCACCTAGCTCAGAGATGCAGTTGTTACAACAGATGGAACAAATGCCACCCAAAGGGATCTGAATAAATTTGAAAGGTGGGCCCATGTGAACCTAATGAGGTTCAATAAGGCCAAGTGCAAGATGCTGTACTTGGGTTAGGGCAGTCCTAAATATCTATAAAAAACTGAAAGAACTCATTGAGAGCAGCCCTGTGGAGAAGGACTTTGGGGTCCTAGTAGATGAAAAACTTACCATGAGATGGTACAGTGTGCTTGTAGCCTGGAAGGCAAACACTATCCTGAGATGCATCAAAAGAAGGGTGGCCAGGAGACTGAGGGAAGTGATTGTCTCTCTTTACTCTGCCCCATTTGGAGTACTGTGCCCAGGCCTGGGGCCCCAGTACAGCAAGAATGTAGAACTGATCCAGAGGAGAACCAGAAGGGCTGGATCACCATCCAGTGAAGAAAGGCTGAGGGACCTGCACTTGTTTAGCTTGGAGCAGAGAAGGCCCCGGGGAGACCTCATGGTGGCCTTCCAGTACTTGAAGGGAGCTTACAAGGAGAAGGGAAACCAACTTTTTACATGGATAGATAGTAACCGGACAAGAAGAAACAGTTTTCAACTATAAGAGGAGAGATTTAGATTAGATGTTCAAGAGAAGTTTTTCACTGAGAGGCTGGTGAGGCACCAGCACAGGCTGCCAAAAAAGGTTGTGAATGCCTCATTGCAATGCTACAACACGATGGAAAGCACAGCAACGATAGTGGCAAACAGCAAAGTCCTATGCCAGAGCAAGTAAGAATAAGCCTAAATACAACAGACACAAAGGAAAACCTCCACTTTCAACTCTTAAATGAGGTTGGGGGTGGAGGGGAGGGTGTTGATCCTGGCTCCACTCCTTCCAGTTACTCAGATACACTGCATGCACCTGAGCTCCTCTGGGCTGGCCCTGCCTTCCCACCCATTTCAAGCCATGACTTAGCATTTCCCCTACACTCATCTCTGGAGATGTTTGATGACAGACTGGATGCAAAACTGAGCAGCCCAATCTAGCACCTGATTTAGTGGCTAGCAGCCCTGCCTATGGGAGGGCAGTTTGAACTAGATGATCTTTGAGATCCTTTCCAACCCAAGACATTCTATGATTCATTCATTCATTCTGTGTTTCACTTTGTAAGGAGTAGAGAAGGTCAAGTCGTATAGCTAAGAAACTGCTCCTGAACTTCCCAAATTCAGCATTTCCAAAGTAATGTGGAAGCCAGCTTTGCTTAAAAGACAGAAGAAGAGAGCTGCTGACAACACCTCCATCCTGGCCAGCTACTCTATAACAACAGCACTGTGACTGAAGAAAATTCCTAACAGAGTGGACAGAACTGAAAAGGATCCCTCAAAGTACACAGGAAGAAAGAAGTTACAGTTTTCATAGAATCTTTTTGAGTTGGAAGGGACTGTTAAAGGTCATCTAGGCCAACTCCTCTGCAATGAGCAGAGTCCCTTAGATACAGCAGAGCTGTCAGCTAACCATAGACTCTGAGTATTTTTGAATCAGTGAAAATTAAAAATGTGTTGAACTTCCTATTTGCAATTCAAAATATTTCAGTGTTTTGTTTTTACACACAGCAAAATCCAGCCACAAAAAAAAATGTCTTGTTTGAGGCACCGGAGACAACCAAGAAGAGAATTCAGATTTCCCACCTTGCAGGACAATGCACCATATGCTGTTAGTTAGCTATTTCTACCTTCTAAGCCAAAATGAATAAATACATAAAAGTTGTTTCAGACAATTTTGATTTTAGTCATCTGTAGAAGTGTTTCAAGGCATTCTTAACTATCAAGTTCAAAATTAACATCTTTTAACTATCTAAGTAGAGAAAATAATAAAAACACCAATCAGTACAGCAGTTACTGACATAAGTGCAAGACACTGCGGTGCTTACCTTTCTTTTACTATGATGTCACCACAGGACTGGCAGTAAAAGATGTAACTCTTCTGTGGTTTCAGGCTTTCCCTCAGATTATAAACCGATTCTACAAACAAGAGAAGACAGTAATCCTCAAGGTTGGGCAAAGTTTTCACTCATACACAAAAAGTCTTTTCAAGAACTTCACTCTTAAGCAAGATAAGAATCTAAAAAAACAAAGCAAAACAGTGACATTCTACACACAACCTTAACTTATTTACCTGTAGAAACAAGTAATGAGATGGGATAAACTTGCCACCTCCAACTCATGCCCCATACTGCTTATCATTACAGACATTGTACAAACTAATATTTGTGCTTTTCTTGTGCAATGATCATAGAAACATAGAATGGCCTAGGTTGAAAAGAACCACAATGATCATCTAGTTTCAACCCCCTGCTACGTGCAGGGTCACCAACCACCAGACCAGTCTGCCCAGAGCCACATCCAGCCTGGCCTATTGGTGAGTGCCTCTGCCGTATGAGTTACTTCCCAATACACAACAAAAAACATTTGGGTGCTTAAAAAAAAAAAAAAAAAGTCAGCAGTCTTCAATCTTCAGCCAGGTAAGATACACAGTCATGGCGGTATCACTCAAAGAACAGACAGTCGGCAATACCCTCTACAGGTCAGTAAAGAGAACACAGTCTCAGGAGACAGATCAGATAACTCAAAATACAAGTTTCTAAATTAAAAATAAATAAATAAATAAGTAAATAAAAACCTACAAAAGCATCCAGAGAACAACAATCAATATCAGGCAGAAGAAAAAGTGTAAGCCTAACTCTATGCATAAACAGGCTTTCTGACATCAAGGTATATTCTCAGCAAAGGCAGTTGGTATTTTAGAATTAGGCAGCAATCACAAAGAAAAGGCACTTAAGAACATTCTAGATACATAAAAGATAGTTTCACAAGCTTATATAAAACATAAAACTTATATAAAACACACTTACATAAATGGCCACTGACAATTTTTGCATTATAGCCAGAATGAGTCATATTACTGCATTTTTAGCAACTAAATGTGAAATAGGAGAGGGAAAGCATGGGGAGGGAGTCGAACACAGCTCTTAAACTCCCACGCAGAAGTTACTCAGCAAACTTCCCTCTCTGCGTCACCTCACGCAGTTTTGCTTTTTAGAGCAGACCGCTGCCGATGCACCCAGAAGCCGTGACTATCGGTACTGCCCGCCGGCGCGCAGCCTTACCCGGGGCGCGGGGCACATCGCGCAGCCGCAGGTGCAGGTGCAGGCCATCTCCGTGCAGGCGCCGCAGCCCGCGACAGGAGGACGGAGCCAGGCTGACCCCTGGCGGCAACGCAGCCACCCCGCAGGCGGAGCTGCTCCTCACTTCCAGCCGGCCCGGAGCCACCGAGATGTCGGCCGGCAGGTTCCGCAAGCTCGCCTCGCTGGAAAGGCAAAACAGGTTTCGTATTATTGGTTTTTCTTATTATCCCGCATAAGGAATTGCTACCCAGCGCCGCGCAACGCGCAGGTCCCGCTCAGCCCCAAAAGGAGGGAGGGAAAGAAGGACAGTGGAAGGGTTCCCGTGCTACCGGATAACGAGCAAAGCGCTCTGCGTCCCCCGCCGGATCTCCAGCAGGAACGCGCACACCATGCCGGCGCAGCGCCTCCAACAGCCCGCGCAGGAAGGAAGCGGCTGCTTCTTCCGCCTGTCGATAGCTGCAACCGCGGCCTCCTGCCGCAGCGCCGCCTGCAGCTAGGTGCCGGCGCTGTCCGGCCTCGCGGCCGTCTCTCTGCAGCGCTGCTCTGTTCTGCCTCGGCTGGTGCGCAGGGCTGGTCCGCCCCGAGGGCAGCAGCTGTAACCAGGCGCTGGGACGACAAAGAACTCCCTGCATCAACCCCTTGCTACCTCGCGTGTTGTGTTCAGGTTTGGGCCTCTCACAACAAAGACACTGAAGTGTTAGGGTGTTTCCAGAAGCTGGTGAACGGTCTGGAGCACAGGCTTGCAGGGAGCGCATGAAGGAACTGAGATAGTTCTGTTTGGAGAAAAGGAGGCCCAGGGAAGACTTCATTGCTCTCTATAATTCCCTGAAAGAGAGTTGTGGTGAGGTGGGAGTCAGCCTCCTCTACCAGATAACAGCGATAGGGTAAGAAGGAATGGCCTCACATTGCACCAGGACGAGTTCTGGTTGGATATTAGGATAACTTATCAGAAAGAGTGGTGAGGCAGTGGCACAGGCTGCCCAGGTACATAGTGCAGTCACTGTCTCTGGAGATGCTTAAGAACCGTGTGGATGTGGCACTGATGGATATGGTTTGTGGATATGGGTCAGTGATTGGACTAAATGATCTTAGTGGTCTTTTCCAACCTTAATGATTCTATGATTTTTTACCTTCACTAGGTGGCCACCAAGCTTCCACTCTTACCAGTCTCTTCTGATCCTGAATCACAAACTGTAGCACAGCCTGTTGTCCATCTCATACAAGAGTTCAGGCTGAGGGAGCTGGGCTTGTTCAGCCTGGAGAAAAGAAAGGTGCGGGGTGACCTCATTGCAGCCTTTCAGTACCTAAAGGGAGCCTACAAACAGGAGGGGAGTCAACTCTTTGGAAAGGTAGATAACAGCAGGACAAGGGAAATGGTTTTAAGTTGAGGGAGGAAAGAATTAGGTTGGATGTCAGGGGGAAGTTCTTAAGAGAGAGACTGGTGAGGTGCTGGAACAGGCTGCGCAAAGAAGTTGTGGGTGCCCCATCCCTGGAGATGTTCAAGGCCAGACTGGATGGGGCCCTGGGCAGCCTGGTCTGCTGATAAATGTGGAGGTTGGTAGCCCTGCTTGTGGCAGGGGGTTGGAGATTCATGATCCTTGAGGTCCCTTCCAACCCTGGCCATTCTGAGATTCTATGAAAAGTTCCCCACATCCATGATGCTGCTCCACAGAGAAGGCAGCGTCATTGGTGCCTCTGTGTACAAGTGGTTGGGGGCAGTAGGCCAAAAGTCCAGGTGGCAGATGGTGTCCTTCATCCTCCACAACAGTCACCAGCTGCCATCATCCGCCACTTCCTCATAGTGGTGCTGCCATGTGCTCGGGGCTTGGAGAGCTCCAGTGCTTCTTCAGAGGTACCTTTCATTAAGTCATCTGCTACCACAGCACAGAGCCTGTTCTCCAATTGCAGATCTGCAGGTAGAGAATACAGCATTCTCCTGTTGCCTGAAGACACCAGCCGTGCGCAGGGCTGCCCCCCACCAGCTCAGCTGTCCATCCAACCTGGCTTCGAGTGCCTCCAGAAATGGGGCACTTATAATTCTCTGGGCAGCTGTGCCAGCACCTCACTGCCCTCTGAGTAAAGAACTTCCTCCTGACATCTAAGTTAATCTACCCTCTCTCAGTTTAAAACCATTTCCCCTTGTCCTATCACTCTCTGCTTAAGAAGTTGCTTTCTATACTAAGTGGCTCTATATGCACTGCTGACCTCTGGGTAGGAATTAAATCTCAGGTGCATTTGTATTGTCCTGTAACAAAAAGTAAGGGCCGACACATTGCTTCACTTGGAAATACAGGGTGTGTGGCTGTACTCAGTGCCTGCGTACGTCCCAAGGAACTGGGGGCTGACTGAATTTATGCAGTACTGAGCATTGAGCTGAATCTGAATTTATGCAGTAGAGTTACGAAATAGTTCCACGAGGAACTATTGCCATCTCCTCTGCATTACCCCACACCATGAGAGCAAAGCCGGGCTCCTTCAGCTGCTGGCTGTTAGCATAAGCCACGAGCTAGCAGACTTACAACCGTGAGCACAGTCGCCTCGGGCTCACTGTGAGGAGCCCCCCCACCCGCTGCTGACGCGGCGCTCCGCCAGGCGGCGCGGTGCGTCGGCGCGCGGGGCACGCCGGGAGCTGTCAGGGTGGCGCGGGGCGGCCGGCGGCGGCGCGGCTCTTCCGGCGGGGTCGCTGAGGTAAGGCGGCTCCCCGCCGTTCTCTTCTTCCTTCCCTTTCCCCCTTCGGCGGGCGGCGGGAGCCGAGCCCGGCCTCCTCTCCGCGCAGACGGGCCCGCTTGCCGCCGCCTTCCCCACCGGCTCGCCGAGGAGGGCCGGGCCGGCAGCGCATCCGCCCAAGGGCGGGCTGCAGGTGCGGGGGAACGCGGCCGGCCCGCTGGGCGCCGTGCGACGGCTCACCTGTGGCGGCCGGCCCTTCCCACCGCGCCCCGCGGGCCGCCCGGCGGCGCTGAGCGGGCCCCGCGCTGCAGAGCGCCGGCGCCCGGCCGTGCCCTGCCTGAGGGGCAGGCAGACGCCGTGCCCGGGGAGCAGCCATCCCGCCCGGGGGGACGTCCCACTGTCCGTGCCCGAGCGTGGGGCTGTCCCGCTTTGACCTTGAGCACACCAGGGCTGCGGGCCGCTGTTTTGTCCCGCTGGCCGCAGAGTGTGATGTTTGGTGGGTAACACCATACGTCAGCCGTTTGTGCAGCACGGGGTTAAACTCCATCTGTTGATGCTGGAGCGGCCTTAGTCTTGTGGTGGTTAAATATCGTCTAAATATCATATCCTTATATCTTGTGATGCCCACTTGATAAATGTACGACGGCTTGTCTGTTGAGCATTTTTACTAATAGCATTTGCACACCTGTTATAATAATCAGAGAGGCCTAAGCAATTTGCCTCCTTAAATGTCCTAAAATCTGCTGGAGATGAGCCATACTTTCGGTGAACTTGCTTTGGGGGAGTCCTTGCGTTCTCATTGCTGAGTAATTAGCATTCCTGTGCCTTCTTCCCATATGCAGTAATGTTATGGGTCTCAGATAACTGCACAGTGTGTTACCTGAGTTCTGCCTACACAACTGGGAATGGATGGAAGACTCTTAAACTGTAATCTTCTAGATGTTTGCAGGTAACCAGGACTGTGTAAGGTTGAACATTGTAATTTGTAATTTTGTTGCCAGGCCTCCATCTGTATCTGTTCTAAATAGCTATGTATCTAAATATTTACACATCAAATGTGCTTTTTTTCTGATTATGGATAAATTTCCATAAAATAGGATGAAATACAGTAATATCCTTCCTCATGTCTAATGATAGTATGATGCCTGGACACTGTGGTTATCCAAAAAGTACAGTCACCTTTAATATAACATGGATGAATGTTATAAGGGTGAATGCCACTTTAGAAAAAGGCAAAATGTCAGCAGCATAATTCCTGGTTTTCTTCTAACTGAAATGAGAATAGGCACTTCTGGGATCTAAGTAACCTGTAAATGAGAAATAGGTGAAGAGAGCTGCATTTCTGGCTTACTGAATGTCATATTTTCCCCACCTGTTGGTGACAGTTGTGACAGCAGGTATTTAAACAGCATCTTGCACAAACAAGTAATCATACATCTTCCAGTAGGGCTGTGACTGTGCATTTTAGCGCATGGTTATGTTCATTGGGCAGGTTATATTTATTTTGGCAGAACTTTTCTTGTGCACAAGTACTGACATACTACAGTGACCACTGGAAATACTCATCACATGCACTGCAAACTAAACTGGTAAGAATGCAATCTGTCTGGTGTGGGTGGACTTTAAATTGTATTAATCTGCCTGTATTACTCACTTAAATAAGTGGAGGGGGAATGATTCTCTTAGTTCATCACTGGCTTAGTTGTCTCGACCAGTTTTACTGTTTTCCACCTTTATTTTTAGAGTTTTCTTACTTATCTGGGGAGGATTGTTTGGATGAGACTGACTGAAGATATGTATTACTGTTCTACCTTTGTTGTTGGTTTAAAAAGACAAAAATGTTTGAAAACATTTGAGAAAAATAGGAAATAGGACAGAGACAGAACTTAGAGACAATAAAAACAGCACTTGTTATAGAATGGAATCTGTATAGAATGGAAGAGCAGAACTTTATACAGTAGAACTTATTTGTATGCATTTAAACTGCCTTTCAGATTAATAATCACGTTGCCTTTTCTTGTAGCTGAGAATATTTAAATATATAATAAATAAATAAATAAATAAATAAATAAATAAATAAATAAATAGAAATGGGCTGCTTCTCCTTTTCCCCAAGTTCTTAGAGAGAAGCAGTGCAGGATCAACCATTTATCCCCAGTATCTGAACAAAGAAAAATACAACACCAAAGCTACTCAGGAGAAGATTTTGCTGATCAATGCAACACTATTTTTATCATTTATATTTTAGTTTGCTTATGTTGTATGGTCTGTGCTTCCTCACTAGAGAGATTTTAGAGTATCTGCATAGTTGAGCATGCATAACTGGAGTCATTGATGGATTTTTTCCATTAGTAACTTCTTCTGTAGGAGAAACATTAGAAACTTGTACTTGAATATAGCCATCTAAAAAAAAGTGAAGCTAAGGAATGGTGTTTTATCTAATTTATTTCTAGTATCTATAAATCAGAGAGAATTTAATCATTTATGTCCTTTGTGGTTTACTTCTGACAATAAGAAGGCAAACAAGTTTTGGTCCAACAGATTTGTTTCCAGAGCAGTCATCAGAAGACTACTTTACAAAGCTCTCTGTCATCCATCTCCAGAACATGTGCAGTCAGACACACAGCAAAATACAACCACACTCTAGGTTATGTGTCGGTATGCATATGGCTTGTACTGCTACTTCAGAATTTAAATGAGCATCAAGAGATAGAAATTGGTAGGAATAAGAAATAAACGAATTAGTAACATCTTAAGATTT